GGGGGGGGGGGGGGGGGGGGGGGCGGGAATATCAGAGGAGAGGATGTTACTCGGTTCGTACCTCTCCTCACTCTTTCTCTCTATCTCTTATACATGCGGATATACACGTACGACGCGCTAACCCAATAAAGCTGGAATTGAGACTTATTAAATTATGAGAAAATTTTTCCAATTTTTTGGATATTAAGGAAATATTAAACTTGCAGATAGTTTCATGAAGAATTACCAAAACGACATTGGCAGCTTCACGTAAACGTCCACGAGTAGCCGAAATAAATATAATGAGGAAGGAGTATAAATGCGTAACATTGCTGCTGGCGGCTGAAGAGTGAAGAGTGAAGCTATCCGTGTTTCGTGTGACACCCTTGAAACAATCGGGCCGACTCAAGAGGGGCTTATTACTCTTAATGAGCTCTGGTTATTTCTTTGAGTGGCTTTGATTTGTCCGAACCATCTCGCTTCCCTCCGCCCCAATCACTGCCATAATCTATCTATAAGTTCTCTCTCTCTCTCTCTCTCTCTCTCTCTCTCTCTCTCTCTCTCTCTCTCTCTTTCTCTCTCTCACTGTCTCCTTGCTCTTCTCACATCCGTATCACTGTGCGAAACGTCCACGCATCTCTCTACAGTGTGTATCTCAACGTACAGACTCTTCCACTCTTCTCTTAGGGACCAGAGGAGTTCATTTGCGTACGGATTGAGATAGTAGTGCTTTGGTCCCAGTACGATGTGTGTTTTTCTTTCAATGTGTGACTGCATACGAGATCCTGATTGCTGGCAGAGCTGGCCGCTCCCAACTTCAGAGGCTCTCAATCGTTAGTCGATGACCATCATTATTCCTTTATTACATGTTCCCGTTTGGTTCGGTCTCGCTTTTCTTAAATATATCGATTTTTCTATGCGTATGAGAAAGAAAGTGGCAATACGTTAGTTGGTCATTAATTTTTGTCTTTTCTTCCTGTCTTAATTATAAAAGGACTTAATTAATAGTTCCCCAGGACGAAGCCTGCAGTACTTTATTCTAAGTAATGATTTCGACACGCAGAATGGCTGCTGCTAAATGTAACCAGTTCTTCAAGAACTCTCTGATTTCATTCGATTCGATGCTCGCTGCTTCTGGCCATCTTATTTTTTTTCACGAGTCGCATAATTAGCTCGAGCTGTTATTTGAGCACCTCTGTCCGAAAGATAGCCGCGACACATGCTGGAAATTTGTTCGCCGGGAATTTACGAGCGAGTTTCCGTGTCAGAGCCAATACCGAACTCTCCCCGTAAGTAATTATACGTCTGTATATCGTAGCCAGCTATAAACTTGTATTTCGTTGTGGAGACAAAAAAAAAAAGAAATCAATCGGCCAGCCAAAAGTGTCATCGATACCAGGTGGAGGAATTTTAATAGAGCCTGACAACAATCTCCTTCTAATTCGTTAATTAGGTAATGCTCCACCTCGCTTGCTTTTCATGAAACAATTGAACGGTCGATTCGATCGAATATCTAACGAATTAATGATTTATAAATTTTTCGGACCCACCCACTGTTCGGCACTCGGCAGTCGAGGCGCAACAGCCGAACGATTCGATGGGCATTCTGCGCTCGAGGAGTCATTGGCTCGGCGCGGTAGGATTGTCATTGCGATGCATAACTATGCAGCAAAGTATGCAACTGCACATTCCAGGTGTATGCAGGAGGCCCCGTCCGTTCTTCTCACTTGGGACTTACACGAATGTCGGGAAAGACGCTACGAGCGTGGGCGTGCATTCCTGACGTCGTCGATTATCTCTCCTTTCTTTATTCTCGTCCTTCTCGCCTGCAGGTAACGCGCTCTCTGCTTCTCTCTCGCTCTCTCTCTCTTCTCTTTTCTCTCCTTTTATACTCCTGATCCAAGCGTTATCGGGCCCCAGTCGAAACGGCTGTTTCACACCTCCGCTCGTCCGGTGAATTAGGAAATAAATTAGTACGGAGCTAATTTCGTTATCTTCACGTCCCCAAGAGAAAGAAGGAGAATCCACCGTGTCTTCCAGCTAAAGAACCGATCTTCGGGGACCCAAGTCCCAGAACTGGGAACGGCTGATCTTTTAAGTATTTCGCGTGAATCTTCGTTTTATTTAAATTGCGTCGACTCGACCCTACGTCCTGTACCTGGTACCCCAATGAACTTGGAGATAATTAGATAATTAGATGGAAACTTGAAAGAACGATGGAGTCTTGAAAGTTTCATTTCCTAGTCTAATCGAGTTCTTTACCTACACTTCGATAAATCCACAACCTGATATACCTCGGCTCTGTGTATATAATAGCTATCGGACAAGATAATCCTGTGGCGTTTCAATAAATTTCATTAATTAATTATTGACGTGTCCCAGGGCTATTTTCGTGCAATCCGGCGCACGCAAAGGACGGGCACAGCCAACTGTATCTAGCGAAGTCTCGGATCCACCTCGTCGTTCCTCATCGGCTTCATCGACCACCCTCTCTTACGCTCTCTTGCTCTCTTGGTCTCTTGCTCTCTTGCTCTCTTGCTCTCTCCTTTTCTTAACGTTCAACAGTGGTAATTTACGGCACGCCCGACGACAGATACTCCGACAGACCCTCAGCCCACCTTTCGTCCACTGGAACCTCCAGAGACAAGGGAATCATGTCCAGGTGTGTCTTTCTCCTGCATCCTGGATTCTCCAGATTACCCAGACTGCTGCTATAGTCTCTACATAGTCGATGACAGGACCGTATCAGACAAGGGGGGCGACACCTCCTTAGCATAGAAATGTCGAAACTTCAACGGCACTGAAATCGATGAATTTCATCAATTTCAATTTGTATCTGTGAAATAGTTAGTGAAAGACATAAAAGAGCGTCACTCGCTGGTCCTGATTCACGCGTCTTTTATTGAGATCTTCGGTCGATTCCCTCGACGAGTCTATATCAGTGATTACGTGGAGCCTTAAAATCGAGGCTTCCCAAGTGAAACCGCCTACGTGCCTTCTAAATTCTCCAGGTCGAAGCGTTCAATCGTTTACTATTCATCGGGAATTAAAGAGATGCGCATCTCACGCGCGATGGAACGAGATGAACATCCGTTAGGTCATTCTAGAATTACTCTAAGGTGGGACCAGCCTTAGAATTGAATGACGAAATTAAGAAGAGACTTTTTACGAGCTATCAAAATGACACCGAGCCCATCCACTGGCTGTTTTACCATACAAAATGGAAATACCTTTCGGATCCTGCGACCCAACCACGTCCTATCCCAGATCTTCATCTCGGCTTAAAAACCTTAAGGATGCTGACCTATCGGTCCGACGTAGAGGATCCAATTGTCAAGGGCGCCCCGCCGATAAACTTCCCATAAAGCTGCAGTAGAGACGGTAGAACGATTATAATGATAACCGCAATGGGTTATCAGCGGATGGAAATATTTTTCGTCGTCGCGATGGACTCTTGATCGTCACTGGCAGTTGATTCGACGTCGGTATCAGCGGGTGCCAGGCAGGAAGGCCCGTATTATCGAGGCAATTGTCTCAGCGCCCCACTACCCCTTGCGTCCCTTGCGTCCCTTGCGCCCCCCTTCGACCCCCTTCGACCCCCCCTCCTGCTAGACCCCTCGTCCTTCGGCCGGTCAGTTCAGCTGACTATAAAATCATTATCACCCCTCCCCTCAAATCCGAGAGCTCGATTATCCCATTAATACGGTGTTGTTCGTCCGTCCGTCCATCCCGTTCCCCATACATATCTACGTACGTCGGTTAGGATCTTTAATGATTTAAATGCGCCGAGAGCGACAGACGCGCGCACACCAGGCCGAGTCTACATACGTGGAGACGAGTGTTGCTCGGCTGAAATAAAAGGGGGATAGGAGAGAGAATAAGTAGGAGCCCGACGTCAATCAAATGATACGCGCGTAAACCGTGCTCTGGTTCGGGACGACGAATCGCCGATTATAAAATGACGATTTAATGAGCTGGGCGCGCTGGGCGCGCCGGACGTGGGAAGTCCTCGGCGTATCACGCTGCCACCTAATTACACCATTACGGGACCAGTAATTGTTCGGGCCCTTCTCCGTATCCTCCGTATCCTCCGTATCCTCCATATCCTCCATATCCTCCCTGGGACTGCTGGGCATGGGAGACTTTTTCACTTTATTTGACCT